GGTTGATTCTCATTAAGAAAATGACCACCAAACGACCAAACTAATTCGCCGAGGATAAAGATAAAAAAATATTTTTTAATGTAATCAATGTTTTTGATTAGTTTTGTAGGTTATATATGCCTATGTAGATGGATACCTTCGTCTCCGTAAGGCGCCATTACGGGGTAGCAATTGCTATCCCATCACTTTTTTTATTTTATCCACCGACTACTCCCAGACTTCATTAAACCACGTGCAATTGAGTAAAACGTATTATTCAAGATGCTTGTCGCTTGATACCCCATGGATGCACGATGTTACTCTAAATAACCCCTATTTGTCTCTCTAGTAATATTCTACGTAATAGAACGAGTAGTACCTAACGTCATATCAGAAAATTGGTGTTAAGGTGAGTACGCCGTATACCCTCCAATAATACACCTACAATACACACAATACTATACGTAAATACGACGAGATGACGGTCGTATATATTATACCAACAGTGGAGCAGTATGGATATTTCGAAGCCAAAAGATGTTTATAGTCGACACATATATTAGTATAATATAATTAGGTAGGCGGAAAGTGGAAAAATACACCGAAATTATTGTACGAAATGATCGCTCCGGTTCGTGTACATAATATTATTATTGTTATGTACATAATAATATATAGGTTCGGCGCCACTGGTTCGCGACGTTGTGCTAACGTACGGGGGCGGGGCCACGGGGGGTCACGGGTCTGAAAATGGCAGGTCGTCGTAGGTAGGTATATAATATTGTCCATTGCGTAGCCGCATACATAATAATTGGTATTGCCATAGACCGTCGGTTATTAAATTAATACGGGTACGGGAACACGCGCATAGGAGGTATGCCATTGCGTTTAGCCGTCGGTAAAAAAAAATTGCGTTTATATACATATTGTATGTATATAGTGCTTGCAGAAGTGTATATATAGGAATATTATTCGCTGTACATTTTTATGGTAGGTAAACATACCAGGCACCAGCTATATTATATACATAATATATAAATATACATATATTTTACCTATAGACGTACGTACCAATATATAAACGAGGAAACTACATATACGGCAATTAAAACGTCGTATAGAACTGCCGCTGCTGCTGCACTGCGTCACTGCAATATCCAATTATTATATCATACATGTATACCTACCGAGAAACGGTGTATTTACAATGAGATCGTCGATTGTCAATACTGAGCTGCAGCGACAGCATAGCTCCACAGAGTATGTACCTAGGTAGGTAGCATATAGGTACCTATAATAATATATAATATGACGTTTAGGACGTATAATTACATACAATAATAATAAATATGTGTCTCATCCACTGAGCGAAATCGCTCATTTCATGAAGTGGACATCCATCATGAAATGTATCCATGTAAAACAAATTACGTTTTACTACACTACATGGACGATTTTTTTTTTACCTTCCCATGAAGTGGATAAAGTTCATTTTATCCACATTAATATTATTGTATTCGAGTATTTTTGGTATTGGGTATAATTGTGCGATTTGCATTATTTATTATATTATATTATCTAAAATAATATTAAATAACTTTAAAATTAACATAAATGTTGCTTGATATAATTTGTAACTTGTACATTGTATAAACTGGTTCGTCAGTCGATCAGATAGTGTACATGACCCCGTTGACAATACTCTGTCAGTCTATCTTATACCAGTTGTTAGTAGTTGTTGATTAGTAACACGTTATTTTGTATAATATGGGAAAAATATTATTTTATGAGAAGTTACTAGAATATAAGAGATAGTCAATCGGTCTTCAGTTTGTTCAGTGGCAAGAAAATTATCCATTTCAATTGGTAGAAGCCCATTTAACGCATTATTTGGAAATGACCCAAAAGTTGCATTGACAAGTTAAAGACTATGCCAATTGATTTTGTTAAAACTATTATAACTGAAGAAGAAATTGAATAAGTTGAAGAAATTGTATAATGTTCAACAATTAATTATACACATCACATATGTAAAATTGACATAAATGAAGTGGAAAATCAAGATGATGAGGGATCCGTTATGTGTAAACTATGCACAAAAAAGAACAGATTAAAATTCAATGAGAAACGGCTTTGAAGGCCCTAACAAAATTGCTGAAAAAAATGTTGCTATAAAAAAATATTGTCAATTTTTAAATAACATAATTTTAAAAACAAAATAAAAATATTATTATAATATTCTTTTTTAGACTAGTCATGCAGATGTTCCAGACTTCGAAATGAACGATTGTGAGGTAATGGCTGTCCCAAAAGTCGACAGAGGGCCTACAGATCCATCAAATATTGAATGTTTAGTCGTTGCAAAAAAATTAAACAGTATAAGCTAGGGACTAAACACGGACTGATTAAAGGATGGTATGAAGGAGGTTTCAGTAAAATGTGAGAAATTGTTAACGAGTGACGAGATTTTGTTGGACAAAAACCCAACTGTTCGAGAGACTGCGACAGACATAACAGGTGGACAAGGTTTTTCTTCTTGTTAGTGTATATCGGAAGCCTGTGTCAAACTACAAGATGCGCCTGTTAAAAAAAAAAAAAAAAATGTTGTGCAAGGCTATAATTCTCAACCATTTAAAAATAAATAATAAAGTTTAAGAAAATGTACAATTTAATTTTCATATTTCATTGTTAAAGATTATATAAGATTATATCATATAATGCAAATCGTACAAGTAACCAAAAATACTTGTATATAATAGTAATAATATTACACAAATGAATTTTAACATTTTTGACCCCTTCATGAAAAGGCAGAAAAATTGTGAATATATAGTGTAGTAAAACGTTATTTTCACTAAATGAATACTTTTCATGAAGTGGATGTCCACTTAATGAAATGATCGATTTCACTAAGTGGATAATGCGACATAATATACATTATATATAATATTATTACCGATATATTACAATATACTGTACCGAGCATCACAGCCCACAGAGGCACGTCTATAAAATATGCGGCAATAGGTGTATATATACATGAAAACAACGTTTTGTTGAAAAAAAAGTTATTTGAATCATTTTTATTTAATCACAATCACACATTCAATATTATAGGCATACAAAAAAAATCACAATAATTAGAATTATGTTAGTGATGTTTCACGACAAAACACTTTAGTACATTGCCATCTTAGCCCAACCGATTGAATATATTAATCATAAACAAATTAGGTAATAACTAAGTTATCATAAAATCTTAACAGACTCTCTTCATTTTAAGACGAAACACTGCAAATTTCTTAACGTTAATGTACCTTAAACTATTTATATAAATTCACCTCAACGGTATACACTAAAATTAAATTAAAACAATACAGTTTTGTAGATCAACAAATACAACTAGGAGTATTCAATGTATCGTAATCGTGTGCGTTTCTTATATACGTTTATGGGATCTCTCTATAATATTATCGTCAGTGTTCTAATAAACGAACATTTGTTTCAATATTTTGAGGTCGGTAAAAGAGAGTATAAGGGCCGAGCAACATTTCTTAACTACATGAGAATTTGTATGCATAAATTATATATTTTGTTATACATTTATATAATTTTATCATTACAATTATACAAATACAATATAAAAATAATATAACGGCATATTGCTAACGTCGCATAAACTTTATGACCATACTCAATACTTCAATGGGAAATCGATAAATAAAAGATTTAAGAGAATAATATAAAACGAAAGGAAAAAATACAAATGAAAAATAATGTATAAAATGATAATAATTAAATTGCTCGGCTTCTAGCTAAACCTCTTCAAAATATTAAAACCCGAAGATTTTTCTTTTGAGGAGAGAGGCAAGTTACCGGACAATATACACACATCAATATGTAATAATAATAAAATAATATTAATAATAATAATAATATAATAATATTAATAATAATAATAATAAAAATAATAATAATAATAATAATAATAATAATAATAATAATGATAATAATAATAATGATGATTTAATATACAAATCATAAACCATTATAATATTACATTATGCACACGGAAGATAATAAAAAATAGTGTTTATAAATGCAGAGCGATACCACGTCAACAATTACATTATGGAAGATTATTGTTATTTAATATATTTTTAATTTACGTTCGTGCAATTTTGAAATTTAAACCGTTAAGTGTTGTACGTATAGTTCTTTTCGAGAGAATAAAATATTTACGAATATTATATAGTATAACACATATTATGTATAAGGAACTTTTCTGTGATAAATAAGTCTATAACAAAAGATATGTTATATAGGGGGAGGGGAGAAACAATTGTGATAAATTCATAAAATAGAGAATATTATTATATTCATTCGTTTCGTGATTCTGGAAATAAAAAGAACTTGATCGACTAGCGTCTCTACACAATATGTCCTTTTCGTTTGTAATATAGCTTATCATTTCACACCACCAACACCGTGCTAAATGTGAATACGTCAACATTTTTTTTCCATACGTACACATTTCACACAACCGTGGTAAACGTGTTTTTGGTTAAACCTCATTGTCAGACCGATTTATGTATAGCATTATAAATATTATATTATTTGTGCATAATATCTTAATAAATAAAATGGAAGGGACAGGAGGGGGTCACAAACATAATATACATTCAGGATGAATATGCCAAACGTTATAAATACATGGGTTTGAGGTAATATTATTTTCACTTTTTATATTTTTACGTATGCATATCGAATAATTTACATTGTATAGAGGGGTGAGAGAGGGGAGGAATTGTAGGATGTACGTATATCTTAATGCGCGTAAGACAAAGGGTTGTTATAAACCGACTGATGTGTTTGTGAGTGTCTGTTTACACAGCGTAAGTGTAAAAATGTATACAATCTGTTTATGGTAAACGGCTGATACGAGTTAAGAGAAAAAAAAGAGAAGAAGAGCATGATGGGGACCCTGGGAAGAAATTCAGAATTTATGGGGGCGATGAGGCGGGGGTGTTGGGGGTGTGGGTGGGCGGGTGGAGACCTAATGTAGGCCGAGAAATTCCGTAATACTATTTTGAATCCACTGTGAAAACGCCTGTCGCTTGGCCGACGCTCCCGTTTTCTCTAGGCCCAACGCGCAATCGGCCAAATAATCTTCGTTGCGCACGCAGAAGTAGCTCTTGATCGGACTGCGGCACATCGGGCACGTCTCCAGCTTGCCGAAGCACGATGCGCATATGCACGTGTGGCGGCACGGCAACAGGGCTCTGGACAGCGGGTAGTATTGGCACACGACGCACAATTGTTCCTGGCCGGTGTTCAAGCTGCCGCCGCTGTTGTCCAGAACGACAGCCCTCTGTGTCGAGTCGTCGCTGCAGGCATCGTCTTGGTAACTGAGAGCGTTGCCGGTGGCCAAATAAAGTTGCTGTGGGGACAAAAAAAAACCACACACACGTGTTACATGATGATACTATGACAACATTATATGACACCAAAATTACGAGTATAACATACCTAGTACCTATATTATTATGTTAATATTTAAAGGAATTACAATCTAGTTTCTATGGGGAAAATAATAGAATAATTAATGTAGGTAACGTGTTGTAACTAGAATATGCCGAACATTTCGGCCAGGTTGACACTGATCGGTCGTAAGGTTATTGTCGTCTATATAGTTGAATTTATATAGTACAGGGACCTATGCATAAAATTGCAAAATGTTATGTAACTTGCGTATATATTATAGTTATACCATGCACAGTAGTCGTATATACTGTATTAGTATCGATTTTTTTTTCTTTTTTTTTTTTATTATTTAAGAAAATTTACTATCTATATACAATTTATATAATAAGTAAATATGATGAGTACAATATTACAGGACATGAAAAGTTACCTCCCCCCTAAATATCGATTTATTAAATTTTTTCTGCGACTTTTGGTCTGGATATTAAATCAACCACTGAACAAGTAAGAATTGATCAACAATAACACTATCATTAATATTAATATATTTTTATATGTATAGTTAACTGTTTATACTGTAAACATGGTATACAAACAAGTATACACATCGGAAATGTAATAACTTTTTCCTTTACACGTTTCTAAAATTAAGTTATTTTATGTATAACATAATTGAACAATTATTTTTCTTTTGAAAATTGCTTTTCATTACCACACAAACACGACACAATAACGCACAATATGGCATGATACCGGACAAATACATTAGAATATCTCGTAGCCAATGCCGCACACAAAAATAGCACTATACCACACAAATTCATTTAATTGAGTAGCTTATATATTGTAAGTATGGTGTTACATTTAATTTACTACAAAATACGATTATAAATTAATAGAGATTTTTTTGTTAAAATTAGTTGAAAAAAAGTTATGATTAAATAGAGAAGAATTTTTATTCTTTTTAAACATGTATTACTTACATATATAGAGATTTGACGTAAACAATTGAAATTCGTCTATTAGGCATGCAATATTGGCGTTTTATGCTGTGGTATGTTATTGGTAAGCCGATTGTAAACATGTGTAAATAATAGATAGAAAAATTAATTTTTTCAGTACATTAATTTAACCGATAATTCGATAAATTTGAATATTTGATATACATCAGCTATCGGTATAGGTAGGTAATATCAAAATCTGTGCACGGTATTGGCCAATGCGTTTTTCAATAACGTATGTAGTGGTGGATGACGCCCCTTAAAATATGTAACTCACTGTGTAATCTAAATAATTAGCGAATCAAATGATAAGAAACGCTGGTTTACAGACAACTCATAGTTTATATTAATCATACTGAATGGTAAATAGTCCGTCGTGGAGTGGCGCACACTGAATGAATACTGCCATAGTGCCATTGCAGGATGATGACGAGAATAATGTGAAATATTATGGAGTGTCAATCCGGCCAACAAGTTTATTAACTATATAGTAACCACGGAGTAAGATACAATGAACTGGTAACGACATTTTTTAGTGGACCTTAAACTGTGTGAAAAAAATAAGTGCCGATGCTCTTGAATAAAATTACATCTAATTAATTAATTAGATGATAATATTATACGCTAAATGGTAGATAACGCACTGCTCCAGTGTATACTATCCACAGTTACTACGTAACTTATACACAGTGGCGTCATTTTGCGCTGTTCTGTGGCTCACAAACTGCATTAGGATGAAAATACAGTAGACGCCGCTTATAAGACTCACGGATATAAGGTTCAGTCGCTTATTAGACTCAAAATCGTCTGGAACGGACCGGACGTATCAAACTACATTAAAAAAAAATCGGGTATAAGACTCAACGCTTCGGTTATAAGACTCAAATTTCGTGAAATAAATAGTAGAAAATAAACTTTTTTGGTTATAATTTAGAAATAGATTGGTATTGAAAAATTAAATAATATTCGTGTTGATTAATCCTAGTTTCTGTTGTACCTTATAACGTATAATAATTTTTATCGCAGATAAAAGTTCACATTTATCGCAACGATTATCGTTATTATAGTGAGGTATCTGATTATCTGGCGGCTGCACAGTTATCGCAATTACGGGTACATAAATACACATACGTATATGCCATACGTAACCTTTATAATTTTTTATTAAAATATAATTTTTATAATATTTTTATATGTAATATTTACCTATTATAATTTTAGTTTTTTTATCAGGATTATTAAATTTATTCAATAATAAAGTATGCAATATGTAATATGTGTTAAAGTATTAAAATCAAAGCAAAATATGTAGTAAAATAAAATTTATAAATACGTAATTAATTTTTTTTCCACTTCGCCTATAAGATTCATTCGGTTATAAGACTCACTTTGTGCTGGTCCCAAAGTGAGTCTTATAAGCGGCGTCTACTGTACCTTTAATCATTAATTTTATGTAGGTACCAGTTACGACCACATTGCTAGATAAATACTTGTTTTGTTTTACACGTAGATATGCGGTTGTTTCTATCTTGTTGCATCTATTTAATAAGGGACATCATTTAATTAACTAGGCGATACAAATGCATTGCGCCTCGCTGATCCGAAAAATAGTGCAAACCACTGATACATATACAGTGTACGCGTTTTAGCGCGGTGTGTATGTAATATAATTATGTTAAAAGGTTTCAATATTTTTACCTATTAGGCACTATAACAACTAACCTTTAATGATGACAATTGTCCGTTCGCTTGTTTCAGGTATTGCGCCAAAATGTTCGTAGGCAACGTGCACACGTTATCCCGGATATGTACTACATTCACCAATGCCACCTACGGACCCACAACAAATAATTACACATACCGATTTATGAATATTATCCTGCCTATATTTTGTAATGTATACATCGAGAATAGTGAGCACCTCCTGCAGGTGTACTGCTGCAGGTTATGTTACATTTTATTGCAGCCACATGTATAATAACAGTGGAGTCTCGATAACTCGAATTTCAAGAAGAATAAAAATATTATCGACTTATATATTTTTCAAGTTTTATACCTAGGTATTTCAAATATATTTTTAAAATATTTCAAGGACGAGAAAAAAATTCGAGTTATCGAGACTGGAATTTAATAAATAGGTACGAATCAGAAGAAAAAATATAAATTGTATAATATGGACTTACCGTCTCGTCTGGATGTAAAGTGGAATTTTCGGGAATATCACGTATAAGGAATATAACCAAAGGGTAACAATGTCGAGGGGGTGTTCCCAAATCCAATTTTCCTTCTGGCATAAACATCTGAATGGTTTTTTCGGTATGGCTTGTTTCGCTAAACGTTAAATGGTTAAGGATATCTTCAACTAATTTAATTTCAGCTGACAAAAATAATAGATATTTTATTTATATAATTGAAAAGCCGCTTAATCTATCAAATATGTCAGTATTTATATAGATAAATATTGGCGTTAATCAAAGGATACTGCAAAGTTAATCCACAATGTTGGTAATGTCCACGGAGTAATGAATCATCCTTGACAGCTGTCTGAAATGAGCTCCATGCCTTCCATAGGAAATGATGAAGTTCCCGAATAGAAACGCCCCAAAATGCTTGCAATGTATATGGTACTTGGCTTGAGATCGTGCATCGAAGATCTATAAAAAAAAATTAAATAAGGCGATTAAGAAAAGTTATGTATTTAAAACTGTATACATTATAATAGCTATAATTATAAATGATACTTGATTAATGATTATTATTCAAAACGTTTGGTAAATATTTTGGTACACAATTAATTAATGTTTTAAAAGATACCCTTAAGATAACATAATATATACATATATATATATATATATAGGTGTATGTGCACAGATAATTTTTAAAAATTATTCTCACCCGTCATCAGTATTTAATCATATATTAGGTAGGTATACCATCTATTGATGCAATACTAGCTTCACGACAATGGTCTCAAGGGCATGTTTGTTGGGACTATTATTAATGGCATGCACAATACAATAACCTCGAACTAATATATTAACTAGAGTAAGAACACACAAATTTGAATATAAACTCAGCATTTCATATTTTTTTAAATTAAAAAAAAAACTACCTAAGTCAAATAGTAACCTTTAAAATAAAATAATCGTAACATTATTTTACGTTTTTTCTATACACATTTTTTAAGTTTACGGATAAATTGAGGAAATTAATTTGTTTGATATTTTAATATATGTTTATGCATAACCTTCATTAACATTAAAATATGTTTAATAAATATAAACAACAATAGATCCAATCAATATTTATCACAAAAATCGAATAATTTAATTGATAAATTATTTGCATTTACGGAACACAATATATTCATTTATATATATACACAATTTCAAACCAAATGCTAAACAAATCGAGGATCATATTAAAGTATTTAACTAATATTTTTATTCAAATATAATTATGACAACAACAACAAAAACAAATGGGTGGATTATTTTTAAGATGTATATCTTCCAACAATAATTTTACAACAATAGAAGATGAACGTACAATTTATTTGGCAATTTATAGGTGTATAATGTTAAAGTACAAGGTAGGCATACTAAATACTTAGTAATAAAACTATAAAAGTTAGTCTAATGTTGATGTCGTACGATCGACCATTTAAAATTAACATCTGGTTGAGTATTATAATAACGACGATGCCAAGAATAACAACTTAAATAGCGATTATAATTTAACAAAAATAATTTATCACATCGGATATAGGATCTTAAAATCGATTACATTTTATTCTTGTTGAAAGGTTTGGACTTGAGTTCGGCACTCGTCCAGTTGTATTTTTACTACCGGAATACCATTAGGCAAGATCAACGAACGAAAAACATGTCACACTATTATTATTATTGGTGTTCACACTGTCTTCATAATATTATATGATACGTTCTTCTGAGAAATTTGATATTATTGAATGTTTTGGACGATTTCTTCGTAGGCTGAGATTTATAAGTACGATTATTAACTTATTTGATTCATAATAATGGGGACATAAAGTATACATATATATTATCAAATTAATACTATTTAACACATTTCATGCCACCCACGAGGTTATATATAGCATTGTTTGTATTTTGACAAGTGTTTGAACCACAGCCAAAACTTATTGATGAATATTTCTAAAAAACTTCTCTAAACGCATTAAACAGAAATGTCTAATGGATTTTATACAATGCAACCTGTGAAAACTGGGAGTGTACATGTAAGTGTGTGTCAATCAAATAACTTATTTTTGAAAGCAGAAAGACAGGCTGCAAGTTTAAAGTTTCAGTGTATAGTTAGAAAATGTTTAATGCATATTTTATCAATTTAGGTGTAAAATTGTTTTACTATGTTCTTATTATTTCTTGGAAAAAGAATCTGTAAATCTAATACACAATTAATGTATATTAAATTATTGTAATTTTATAAATTTAAAAGAATACGGCTTTTGAAAAAAGTTATTTAAATTTATATTAATATATTAAACTATTATTGCACATAAAATGCAATATTATAGGATTCGGGACTTAATGCACTTACTTTTTTATTTATTGAACAATTATTATGAATAAAAATGTAAGATTTAATACAAAATAATAAATTTAAATAAATAAATGTATCTATTATAAATAATTAGGATTTGCGACTTATTGCACTAGAAATGTTCAAAGTATGCCATTCAAATAACAAAAACTGCACTAAATTATGCAGTTTAGCTACTACGAAAATAAAGGTAACTGCAAATTATATATAAAAATAATATGGCATAAGCATTAATATATTTTAGCAATAATTATTAAAAAATGCTTGCTTTTAGCAAATATGTTTTTAAGTTCGTTAAAATATAACAATATATGCAGGCATATACTAAGCTAAAGTTTGTGTTTAATAATAAATTATAGAAAAATTCTGTTTAACAAAATGTACTTTTGAGATAGATTGCATTAAGCTCTGTGAAAATTTTCAACTTTTTGAAAAATTGGCTCGTATGTGATATTTAGAATTTTCCGGGTATTTTCATTAACACATTTCATTGTTACATTACCTACTCAGATATTTGAATAATGCCTTGAATTTAAATTCATAAATTCAATATTAAAAAAAAGCAATCGTTGTTCCTTATATAAACATTTAACGTACCTATAATAAATGAAATAAAATTGGCTACATTATATAGAAAATTATAACATAGCGGCTTTTTAAAAATCCTAATAAATAATGTAACGAAACATAATATAGAATGTAATTATTTTTAATTTATATCAAACCAAAGGTTAGTGGGTTTTATAGTAAGATATTACAAAGTGACAGCGTACATATTGACTGTTAAGAATATTGATTGTTTTTTTTAACATTTTATCCAAATGACATTTATTAAGGATGAATCGATCACCCAACATTATGTTGCTGAAGTTTATTCAGTTTTTAACAACATTTTTAAAGTACATTTTTTTTTCAAAGATCTCAATGATTATTTAAATTTATTTTCAAAATATGACGATTATTTTTTGTAAAAATAAGTAACGTCTGGCCAAAAAATTTCAAGCCTCAAGGTCACTATGAGTTTTAAGCAAGTGTATTATTTGTATAACTTGTTCATTAATATTCTTTATTATTTTACCCGGAAAAACAAATCTTTCGAGGTTATAATACTTACATAAATTACATAACGAAACTATTTTATCAAAATACTTATATTTGCTGCAACGTATTTAGAATACATTTTAGTGAATATAAAATAAATTAGAAAGCATGCACTCCCAAGTCTCAATATAAAAAAAATACACGATTGAATGATTTTTTATTTTCAAAACTAAAATTTGGAAATATTAGTTGCGTAATTTTGCAAATCTACATCGACAAACCCAAATATTTATAAATAACTAAAGATACTTATTTTGAGCAATATTATTTTAATTTTTATAATCACACATACTTAAACTTGCCGTAGTAAGAGATTGGCGTAGCCTTTTATTTAATTATTTTTAAAAATTCTCACAATATACTTTCTTTCACAAATTAATTGGCTGATACTAAAAAAACATGTCAATAAGCATTTAATTAATGTGTCTTTTAGGCAATTATTTTTCAAAGTAGGTAACTAGATAAGTAACAGTAATAGTTAAAATGAATCAAAACTAATTTAGAGTTTCTGTAGTTATTTTATCCAAGGAAAGGTATTATTTTCAAATTTAATTACCTTTATGATGATGTAAAAGTTGAATACAAATACAAATAAACAAATTCGATATAAGTAGGTGGTGGTAACTAGATAGTGGGAGGTTGATAAATTATCAAAAAAATTCTTTTCAAGAACTCAAATCCTCAGACATCAAAAATCACCAGACTAAACAAAACTGAAATTATATCTATACCTATTTTGTTTAATTCCTAAAGTATACCTAAAAGTAATAATTTTGTTTTCTCTAGATCACTTAAACTTGGTATAAAGTAATTGCAATTATTATGCCACCATCGAGTGCAGAGATATTCAAGAAAGATTCTCAAAAAAAAAAATCCTCCAAGAAACTGGATAGTAATTATAAAATTATCAGAAAGTTGCAATTCTATATAGAAAAAGATACATATTTAGAATATGTCCCAAAATGACAAGTGTAACTGCATGTTAAGTAACTTGAATAACTACTTTTAACTGATATAAAATAAAACGAAAATCTAAAATAAATAATATTTTTTTTTTAAATACACGAGATACAATATTATTCATATTGTTAGAGTAGTTTTTGTTTTTCAAAAGCGAGTGAACGGGGTGTAAATACATTAAAAACTATACATCTATATATTCTATATACTGTATCTGAATAAAAAAATTAATTTTTCAACTATGAAAGCTAAAAACGATATGAAGAGTATAATTATAATGTAGATAGATATCTTGTTTAAAGTATTATAAGTGTTTCAAGTACTTTCAATTAATAAAGTACCTACCTAAAAAATATTACATTAATTTATTCGGGCTTATTTACTATTCATCTTGAAGATATTGTCGAACTGAAACTTTTCTTTAATTTTGTTTAAATAACATTATTAAGAATATAATGTTTATCATAATCATTTTAAAACTTCCCAAAATATCAGGGTTATATTAAAATTATACATCTATAAAGTTAAAATTAAAATTCTTCGACTTCATCGTATTATTATGTAATTTACGTATGATCGGATCTCGTGAGAAATTATTTTTGAAGGAAAAAGTATAAAACTGTGCACAATTTCCGCTTGTCATTAATCAATCTACGTCCGAGACTTGTAAGATTTGTCCAAAGACTCAAGTTTTATCACAGTAATGATTAATGGGAATGTTCAAGACATTTACAAACTATTCATACGTAAATTGTAGATTAGAATCTTTAGAATAATAAAATAAATATATAAAATATCATACGGTAAATTCTGCTATAGTTTTTCATTAAACTACTAGTGCTGAGGTCTAAAATATAAGTATATTACAATATAAGATATACCATTAAGTGTAACATTCTACAAATAAGAATAATGAATTTATACTTCAATTTTCGATTTTATGATTATTTAGGTATTCGTTCTAAATAAATACCAAATTTAATGTTTTAGTAAAATGTACCAAGAAAAA